CCCTGAGAGCACCACGGGGCGCACCGGGAGCCAGGGCCCTGCCTCACAGCCCGAGGCCCCTCCGGCTCAGGCAGAAGTCGTTGAGCCAGTGCAGAAACCAGTAGCAGAAGCTCCCAAACCCCCCAAAATAGAAGAGATTCCTCAGCGGATTACCAGGAACCGGGCGCAGATGCTCGCCAACCAAAACAAGCAGAACGCCGCGGCTGCCGAGAAGGAATTTCCTGCCGTCCCCGCGCCCACCACCCGCACCAAGGGCCGAGTGACCGAGGAGGACGATTCCCAGGCGCAGCACCCACGGAAGCGCCGCTTCCAGCGCTCCAACCAGCAGCTGCAGCAGCAGATCAACACGTCCACCCAGCAGACCCGTGAGATGATCCAGCAGACCCTGGCAGCTATCGTGGACGCCATCAAACTGGACGACATCGAACCGTACCACAGCGACAGATCCAACCCCTACTTCGAGTACCTCCAGATCAGGAAAAAGATCGAAGAGAAGCGGAAAATCCTCTGCTACATCACTCCCCAGGCTCCGCAGTGCTACGCCGAGTACGTCACCTACACGGGCTCCTACCTGCTGGACGGCAAACCTCTGAGCAAGCTCCACATCCCCGTGGTGAGTCCCCTCTCTTTGCCTGCAGTGTAAAACGCAGCGCTGAGGCTCTGCCCTGTCTGCCAACACAGCCACGTTGTCCCCCAGCACACCCAGAGCACTTCCATGGTGCCCAGCGGTGCCTTTCCTGTACTTCTAGACAGTTCTCACAGTGACAGAGTGAAGCCTTGAGGAGCAGGGGCTGCATGGTAAATGCATCCTCTGAGATGTGCTTTTGCAGAGACCTTAGGCTGTGCTTAAGAGCCTGAGATTTGTTCAGGTTTTAGAGGAGGGTGGTGTGAATGCACAGGATTTGAGGCCAGAAGGCAAGATGGCTTTTAAAGGCAATGCAGTAATGAACCTCGGAGAGTGCAGGATAGCTGCTGCCTTTGTCCACTGAGCGCTGCTGTTTCACCTGCTGACAGCACGTGGGATCTGCCTCGGCTGCTCTGCACAAACGTGCTCTGCTTGTTGGCGCTGCAGGCAGCAGCTCCAGGATCCTGCAGGAGGAGGTCAGTGCAACTGCCTCCCTCCCTGCTGCAGACAGGGTCAGGTACTCTGGCTATTTCTGCTGCCCATACGACGCAGCCCATGCATCAGTGCTGGTCTGATGAGCTCACACCCTGTTTGCCTGCCAGCACTGCCATGGGCGTAGCTGAGCCCACACCTGCCTGCTCCTTCCTGCAGCAGTTCAGAGCCTGAGTGCCACAGCCCTGCAGTTCTTGGCTCCTCCAGCGGTGGTGACTCCTGCAGCTCCCTGGGCAGCCCGTGCTGCTGCCTGACCAAAGCAGCGTTTCCTAACTGCCCCATTGTGCCCCACAGATCGCCCCACCGCCATCGCTGGCAGAGCCCCTGAAGGAGCTGTTCAAGCAGCAGGAGGCCGTGCGGGGGAAGCTGCGGCTCCAGCACAGCATCGAGCGGGTAAGGCAGCACCAGCAGCTCTTGCTGGGGACAGAGCCCTGAATTCCCTTTGCTGAGGGAAACTGAGGTTGCCGTGCTCACTGCTGTGTTTGCTCTCTCCCAGGAGAAGCTCATTGTCTCCTGCGAGCAGGAAATCTTGAGGGTGCACTGTCGGGCAGCACGGACTATTGCCAACCAGGCTGTGCCCTTCAGTGCCTGCACCATGCTGCTGGACTCCGAGGTCTACAACATGCCTCTAGAAAATCAGGTCAGTAGTGCCTGCCTGCCGGCACAGGGCTGTCCCTGGGGAGCTGTGGCAAGACCCCAAGCAAATGGGTTTATCTGGGTTGAGTTACAGGGAGAGAACCATTAAAGTAATCTGAACGCTGGCTGGGAAAGCATCCGGGCTGCTTCCAGCACACAGGACGTGGGATCCCTTCCTCTGCTCAGAGGGAACTGTGCCGGGTTTGGGAGCTCTGATGTATCTCCTGCACCCACCACACAGCAGGCAGTGTCTGCCTGTCAGGCTGTGCTCCCACGTCCCCCAGCTCTGACCGCAGCGAGCGAGTGCTGTAAGAGGGGTCTGAGCACGGCCTGTTGGACCTTGGAGTGCTGAGAGCAAATAACCCATCTCCCACGTCATTCCTTTTTGCTCAGGGAGACGAAAACAAGTCGGTCAGGGACCGCTTCAATGCACGGCAGTTCATCTCCTGGCTGCAAGACGTGGACGACAAGTACGACCGGATGAAGGTGAGGGCTGTGGGTGCAGCGCCGGGCACCATGGGGCACAGCTTTGGGAGCTGCATTCCTGTGGCTTCCAGAAGCTCTGCAGCGAGGCGTGGGGGTTGCTGGGCCAGAACCAGGGGATGGGGACACGTTCTGCTTGGGGCTGCCCGTCTGGCTGCTGCTGCGTTGTCAACCTAAGCCTCCTGTTCTACTCACTGCCACGGTTGCTCTTGGCTGACTGCAGCAAACTGGGAATTGGGCAGGGTTAAGAGTGCTCTGCGGGGCCCTGGGGGAGATGTTGATCCATTGGTGACAGAGAGGTGGCAGCTCTGCGTAGGGAGCAGCACCCTGTCAGCCCTGTTACTGACACCATGGGTTCAGAGCTCTGAGTGCTCATGGCTTCCAAAGCTACTGCACCTCCCAGGCTGTGGAGGGTTGGAGATTCATGATCCTTGAGGTCCCTTCCAACCCTGTGAGGCTCTGTAATAGGAAGATAATAGCAGGGTGGTACAGTCTTTGTCTGCAGCAAATGAGAATAAGCCTAAATACAGCAGCCACAGAGGCAGAAATGAAAGAAAAGAGCTGCTTACCTTTGGAAGGCCTCAGGTAGACAGCAAGAGATACCCTCACCTCCACTGCCAGCCCTTAAATGAGGTCTCGGAGGGGGAGGATCCTGGCTCCAGCCCCTCCATCACTCAGGTTCATTGCTTGCACCTGAGCTCCCCTGGGCTGGCCCTGCCTTCCCACCGGCTGCTCAATCACTGCTCCAGGCTGTAGCCCTGCCCCTGCAGGCTCCCCTGAGCTGCTGTTGGCTTGTGGTGACAGAGAGCGCCCTGAGCTCTGCGTCGCCTCCAGGCCGGGCGGGCGCTCGGTGCCGCGCTGCAGCGCCCTTAACAGCGTGCAGGAGGAGCACGGGAGGGATCCGTTCTGTGGTGGGGGCTCCACAGGAGCATCCCTGTCCTTCCCAAGGGGTGCAGCGCCCCCCCCCCCCCCCAGCCCTCACCACCCCTCTGTCCCCTTTTCCTGCAGACGTGCCTGCTGATGCGGCAGCAGCACGAGGCCGCCGCGCTGAACGCGGTGCAGAGGATGGAGTGGCAGCTGAAGGTGCAGGAGTTGGACCCCGCAGGCCACAAATCCCTCTGCGTCAACGAGGTGCCCTCCTTCTACGTGCCGATGGTCGACGTGAACGATGACTTTGTGCTGTTGCCGGCATGACAGTTCTGCACCGGGAGACGTCACTGAACACTGGCACGGACGGAGCCCTCCGAGGTCGGGCGGTCGCGCTCACATTCACCCTTCCCGCTTGCTGATGAATCCCTTGGTCAGAGGAGGAGGAAGCAGCTATCGGCAGAAATACAGCAAAACAGACAAACAACAAACCGATCGGAAACGAAACACAACATTGCACTTTCTTCACAGCGCGGCCCTCGGTGCCGGACTGACGGCGCGGCCCCTCCGTGCCCGGCGGCGGGCGGCAGCAGCGGGCGGAGCTGCAGGAGCTGCTGCCTGGCACAGGGCGGCGCTCTGCGCACGGAGAGGAGACCACGGGGGGGCAGGGGGCGATTTTCTCTTCCATCCCGGGGGTGTCTCCAAAAAAGACTGAGTCGAAAGAACACGAGGAGACCCAACCGGGGACAAAGGACAGCGGTGCCCACGGGCAGCACTGCGGCGCGGGCACGGAGCCCAGCAGAGCCCAGCAGAGCCCGGCGATGGGCAGCGGGAACGCAGAGAAAGGACTTTGCCAACTGTGTTTTTAATGGAGTCAAATCCATGTGGTTTATATATATATATATATTTTTTTTTTCCTTTAATCTTGGGCATTTCGTTTCTCTTTCTGAGAACATAACTTGAAAAACACTACAGAGCCAATACTCATATAAAGAAAAATTGTATCCCATAAATGCTGTACAGTTTTTATATACATTAACAATGTACTTTTGCTGCCTTCTAGATAATTTATTTTGCAACACATTACTGCACAGTTGTAAATAACTTATGTACTGTAACATCACTTTCAGTTATGTGTAAAGAAATAAATAAATTAATTAAAATTACCTTCATCTCTGCGGTCCGGCAGCGCTGCCAAGGGAGCAGCTGAGCCCCACGGAGCCCCTTGCTGTGCCCCCCCGGCACGACGTGCGCCTGCCGGTCCCGGATGCGCTCCTCTCCTCCTTGTTATTCACATCCTGAGCCCCGCGGCGGCCTTGCTGCTGCTTCGCCCCCCTCCCACCGTTCAGCCCCCGATCCCGGAGCTGTGGGCATCGCGGGGCTCAGCGCCCCAGCGCGGATACAGAACTTTCCCTTTTCTCCCTTTTCCCCCTCCTTACTTTGCTCCCCGCTTCACCGTTCCCCCTTCGCTGTTTTTCTGCTCCCCCCCCCTCCCCCCCCCCCCCCCCCCCCCCCCCCCCCCCCCCCCCCGTCCGGCCCCCCCCCCCCCCCGGGACATCGCGCGGCTGCAAACGCCCCGAACCGAACTTCTGTCCTTCGGGGGCGGGCGGTGGAGCAGAGCCCGGCCCAGGGGTGGGCACAGCGGGCGGTCCCCGCTCTCACCTGCGGGGGCCGAACGGATGGCGGCGGCGTCGGGACCGGGACCTGGGGGTGGGGGCGGCGGCAGCGGCGGGCGGCCGCGGGGCCGGAGGGCGGCAGGGGGGTGGGCTCCGTGCGCGGCTTTGGCCCTGGGCTGGGCGCTGGGCTGGGCGCTGGGAGTCGAACCTCCTCACCGCTGCCGCCCCGACCCCGCGCTGCTGCCGCCGCCGCTGCGCCGCCTGGCGGGGCCCGCTCTGCTCCGCGCCGCCGTGCCGCGACTGCGCTCCGGATGGAGCCCGTGTCAGCTGTACCGGTACCGCGGAACCGCCGCTCCGCCCAACGGCACCGGGCCGTGCACCCGAGGGTGGCACTACGCGATGCCCGCCGCCGGGCTGCGTTCCAATCTGGTCACGGAGGTCTGCGGGGAAGCCGGAGGAAGGGGAGGGTTGAGGGGATTTGGGAATGTGCCCGGGTTTGGGTTTATCGGGGCCGCTGAGTTTGAGGGGGGTTCGGGAGGATCTGGGGGGACTCTGGGGTTGGGGAGGGGGTTAAGAGGGTGTAAGGGTGTCTGTAAGTTTTGGGGATGGCGGGGATCCGAGCGTGGGAAGGTGTGGAAGAGTCTGGGGGGTCTGGGATAGGAGCCTGGAGTACCTGGAGGAGCTGGGGGTGGCGGAGGGTTGTAGGGTTGC